TTTTAACGGCTAAAGTTAAAAGTTTGGGTAATGAAATACAAAGTTTTCAAAAAGATGATAAAAAAAATCAAGAAAAAATAAAAGGTGATTTAAATTTAAATTTAATTTTAATGTTTTTTTTTTTTTATTTTTATTTTGAATTACTTAAATTTAAATTTAAATTTAATTTTTTAGAACTTCAATTACAAAAGGATAAAATTTTCGAAGAGAAAGAACGTTTGATGGCACAATTAAATTGTGCTAAAAATTCTGTTGTTAAATGTGAACAACATTCTAAAGATCTTAGCATACAATTACAAACGTTTCAAACGGAAAATAGCCATTTGAAAAAAGTAATTTTCTAACAGCAAACATTAATCATCATCATCATCATAAGCAACTATATAAATTTAGGCGGGGGGGGGGAAGAACTTTAAAAGAAAATACAGTAAAATTATTTCACATAGAATGATGACAAGAAAAAGTTTTTTTTTTTAATTGTACTGCGCAGTTTATGCTTATTAATATTTACTCCATGTCATGCCAAAAAAAAAAATTTTTAATTATAATTAAAAACTTTTTTTTTTAAATTTTAGGAATTAGAAATAGTTAAAAAAGAAATGAGAAATAATAAACAGAATTCAAGTGCAAATGAAATAAAATTAAATAGAACACTAGAAGAAGTTGAAAGGTTAAAAACAATAATACAACAAATGAAACAAGATGAAAAAGATTTTAAAGAGTTAAGTAGGAAAAAAACAGAAGATTTAACTAATTCAGTTAAAAAATTAGACAAACAACGTTTGGAATTATTAAACGGTTTTAAAAAACAACTTTTACTCATTGATAATTTAAAAAAACAAAAGGTTTCATATCGTTTATTCGTATTTAATTAATAATCGACTAAATTTGTTTTTAATTACCAAAAATTTTTAATTACAGGGTTTAATCGAAGCGTCTAAATTATTGCAATCATCCGAAAGTGATTTTTTTAATTTTCTCAATTCGAATTTTCCAAATATTTTAACGGAAAACAACGATTCGGAAACCGTTAAAAAAGTTATATTAAAACCGTGAGACAGACGTTCTTTTATTTTCACAACTGCAAATATTATTTTATTATA